TTCTTTTTTTTTTAAACTGGGCTCCTGGGGATTAGCAGTACAAACAGCAGCAGCATCAGGACTGACTTGGCTTCTTAAAGGCGCCAGCTTAGGGGATCGGGAGAGTCACTCGGGGAACACCTCTCCTTGGAGAGGAGACTGGGCTGCCTCGAAATCCTTCTTTAGGGCATCCCCTCTTCCACGTTTCCCTTCTGGTTTCACTAAAACTAAAGTAACCAGTGGGCAGCTCAAGGAAGAAATAAAAGACAAGCATGTGAAATAAGCACATACAGAAACGCCAGTGTTCAGAGTGGCTTTCGCTCCTGACGTGGGTTCGAGGTCCCAGGTCCACTGACGCAGGGCGCCGGGATGCCCGGGACAGCGGGGCTCTGCTGGCTGCGGGCTGGGGACCGCGTCCGCACTCCAGACAGCCAACTGGAGCTGTGCAAGCAGGGACCGCACGGCCTGGGTACGTCTGAGCGTGCCAAGGGTAGCTAATCACGAGGGAGGGACCACGCTGGTCCAGGTCTCCTCTCCACCAGCCGGTGGCAGAATTCCCTCCCTCAGCATCTTTCAAAAGGCGACTGAGGAGGAGGCCTGCGGTTTTACTGGCCCCCTGCAAAGTGTCAGTATGTAATCTGTACAGAGAAAGCGCTTTTCCAATGACCAAGAGCAATAGGGAGCTCATTTTGCCCAGGGTCAGCGAAGGGGAAAAAAACCAGATTTTATGCTGGGGTTCGGGTCTCCCCCCAACCTCCAAGGCAAGGTCTGGGAAGAGTGAGGAATGTAGGAGAAGGAGAGAGGAGGACAACAGAGTCTGCCCTCTGTAGAGAACAACTTTGGTTCCCCTGGGCCTCAAACTTCCTTGGAAATGTCTGTATTCAACGTGATTAAAGATCTATTTGTGCATGATGTGATGAAGTCAGTCATAACCCCAAAACACGTTGGGGTGGAGTAGACTCGGACTCATAGCGACCCCATGTATTGCAGAGTAGAACTGGCTCCATAGGGTTTTCAAGACTGTGATCTTTCAGAAGCAGATGGCCAGGACTTTCTTCCGAGGTGCCTCTGGGTGGGTTTCAACCACCAGCCTTTAGGTTAGTCAAGTGCTTAACCGTTTGCACCACCCAGGACTCCTATGCCAGCCATAAGTCTTGTAGAAAAGGAAACTATCAAGTACTTTCAGAATCCATAGTTTTATTTAAACAGTCTTAATCATAGTCATAGGCATTTTATTCCCATTTTAAAGATGGTAGTGAAGGGGCTTGGATGAATTCACCCTGAAAAGTGGTCGTTGAAGTCAGAAATGAATCTTTGAATGCTTCATCTTCCCTCTTCAGAGCCAAATCCTCATTGACTCTGCAGGAGTGTAACTAGAATTTACTATTTTCTGCATTGCTCTTGTCATTTTCTCATCTTTATGTCCCAGAGCTTGGGTTCCTAGTGAATGTAATTAAAATCTGTGTGTGTGTGTGTGTGTGTGTGTGTGTGTGTGTGTGTGCCAAAGGAAGTCTTAAGGGCAGTTTTCAGTCAAGTCAAGGGCCTCAGTATATAAAAAGACATTCTTCTGATCACCCTTGTTTTTAACTCAAAAAAAAAAAGTCCCTAAAATTTTGTGGCAAGCCTAAGCTATGTAATAAATATGTAACCTACAACTCTACAATCAGAAATTAAAACAAACATGTAGGTTGTGTTTAGCAATTTACCTAGTTATAACCAGTTCCTGTGGTCATTCAATGTGGAGATTTTGGAATGAGACTGCCTGAGGTTGACTTAGGCTCTTACTTCTCAGCTAGCATGGCTAAGAAAGTTACTTAGTATAAGGAGGCAGTATTGGGTAGTAACCAAGAGTGCAGAATCTGGAGCCAGGCCACCTGAATTCCAACCCACCATTTACCAGCTGTGTGAACCTGGGCTAACAACAGGAATTTAACCCCCAGTATCCTCATCTGTAAAATGGGGATAACAGAACTTACTGCATGGGTTGTTGTGAAGGTTGAATGAGCTAATACATGCAAAGCATGGTACACAGACTTGACAAAGGGGTGGAGGTTAAAATAGAGTCTCCTCATAATGAAGATTAAATGAGCTATGGAATTAAATGCACAAAAAGCACCTGGCATATATTAAGTTCTCATAAATGGCAGCCACTATACTAGAGCAAAAGACTTCATTGAGAGAATTTAGAAAGAGTTTGAAACTAAATTTAAAGGTGAAACGGAGTTTAACATAAGAATTCCCCACCCAGATGAAAAAAACCAGCCCTTATTTTTAAAAAGCAAACAGCCCAAGGTTCCTTCATCGCAACCCCTAATTGCTCCTAAATAAAAAACATTTTCCATTTTAATATTCATAATCTTGGTGACTAAATATGTTTGCTTTAATTAAATTTGATAAGTTGCTACCTTCCTTACTACAGTTTTGCATGGGGTGCAAATCACTTGCTAAAATAAATATATCCTTGGGTTCCAGGAAGTAAGGAAGTAACCTCAGAATGGCCAATTTTTTTGGCATAAAATTTCCTTTTAATAATATGCTTCTGCTTTGACCCGAGTATGTGAAGAAAGTGAGAGTACTGCATATGACTTTGGGCCAGTTTCTTATCTTTCACAACTCTTTGGGGAGAACTTCCTTAGAGAAGGTGAATATTTGAAATTGTATCTTAAGATTTCAATTTCACACACAGTGGTTGTAAGAAATAACTGCCTACCAGTGGGATTTCATTTCTATTCAATGGGCAATTAAATTGCTCAAATTTAAGTTTAACATTCAGAATCAAGTCTCCAAATGTGTTTTTATTATGAATAATTTCAAAGCAAACGTGACCTTATCGTAGCCTCCCATAGCAACTGGTACAAGCCTTACGCAGAAGAGGGATTCAGTAACTAAGAAGTGATTCTGAACATGTAAAATGGTTCTTGAGAGTTGGGGAAATCTGAACGTGACCCAGCCCAGTGGGACTGAAATGTAATTCCTTCTTCCTCTCCCTCACTCCTTGCGAATCTTAAATACTCTAAAATTTAGACATTTCCCAAGTTTTCCTTCCTGCATGCAAATGTCAAAAGACTGAATCAGTGTGGGTGATGAACCTGACCTCTGGATGGGTCATTTTTTCCTGTGGGTATTTCCTATTCTTTTTTGCTTATTACATTTACTATTGTTTTCTAGGGAATAAACAGCATTTTCAAGTGATGAAGGCTATCTTCCTCTGCTGAAATGGACTTCTAGTAGAAATGAAAATGCAAATGTCACTGGGAAAATGCCACGGATGACAATTTACCTCCCTTTTTTCCAAGAATTAGGAGCCAAGTTGCAACATAGGCCTGTTAGTCGTGACATTCGAATAGAGGACCAAAACTAGAGATTTATCTTAATATGGCTTTTGCTCCCATGCAAAATTCTTTAAACTATTCAATTGTAACAGGCATCTGGCTCCCAAACTCCTTTCAGAACATTTCAGGGCGGGTTGATGGACATATTTTCACGGAATTTTAAAGCTATTAGTAACCTCAGTGATAAATCAGGTTTCCTACACAGTACAGAAGAGCCCGAAATAAATCTTTGAGAAAAAAATCCTCATGAGCTGAATCATAGAAGAACGAGCTTAGGAGTCAGAAAGAAATATTTTTAGCTGTTTACCAGCTGTGTGATTTGGGGAAGTTACTCTGCCTCTCTGAACTTCAGTTTCTGTATCTGTCAAATGGAAATGATAGTGATGCTCAGCAGGGCTGGGACTGGGACCCCACTTGCCTCACCTTAGTCCCATCCCTGCTTACCTTACAAGAGTTTTGACAGGATTCAACAGGATAATGCTTTGCACAGTGCTGGTGAGTAATAAATGCTCAGAAATGATAGCAGTTGTTATTACCCTATCTTTTAGAAGCAATCACCACTGTATCAGGAAGCAACAATCTCCCAGTCAATTAGGCCATCCACCAAAGTATGCTGAGACTGAGGTGCTATAGAAACAGCTGAAGCATACCTAAAGCATCAGCAAACCTTGGGCTTAGGAAGCCCAGCATCTATCAGCTATAAATGAAGGGCTGTGTCCATTTAGCCACTGGTTCACTATTGACAGAGTCCCTGGATGGGGCAGTTAATGCACGGGGCTGTTGACCAAAATGTTGGCAGTTCTAGTCCATCCAGAGGTTCCTCGGAAGAAAGGCCTGGCAATCTACTTCCAAAAAATCAGCCCTTGAAAACCCGATGGAGCAATTCTACTCTGACACACATGGGTCCGCCATAAGTTGGAATCAATTGGATGGCAACTTTTTCTTCTTCTTCTTTTTTTTTGCTACTGACAACTTAACTTGCTTCCTTTACTATACTACCTCCTTCTGCCACATCCCTGAATTTATTTATCAAATTTTCCCCCTTCCAACAACTTCTACACCACCTCCTACAACTAAGAAAAGAGGTAAAAATCAAGTGCTGAAGTAACTTCCCCAAAATTTCACAATTCTACAGCGAGTTCTTAGTGGAGTCACGCTCAT